AACAAACACGTTATGAAAAGGACATCAGGGAGAACAACGAGCCTGGAGTGTTTCTGCTGAGAGTCCAGGCTAGCGACGCAGACAGCCAGCAGTTTGGCAAAGTAAGGTACAGGCTTACAAATGGAGGACCTTTCAGAATTGACGAAGAGACGGGTGTGATATCGGTGGCGGAGACTTTGGATAGAGAACAGCGGGAGACGTACGTCCTGACCGTTCTGGCCCGGGACGGCGGCGAACCGTCTCAGGAGGGCTCCGCTATTGTGTCCGTAAACATACTGGATCTGAATGATAATCCACCGGCCTTTCCTACCCCACATTTCTATTTCTTCGTGTCTGAGAGCATTCCACAACTTTCCCAAGTTGGGAAAGTCACAGCAAGTGATAGTGATAAAGGAGAGAACGGCCGGATAGCGGATGTGCGTATTTTAAACGACGAAGTCCCTTTTGCCATAGACCTGGCGCAGGGATCGCTCCGCAGTACTGGTGAAGTCGACCGCGAGAAGCAAGACCGCTATGAGCTTCTGGTTGTAGCCATAGACGGCGGCAGTCCGGTCCTTTCCGCTACAGCAAGAATGACCATTTTTATTGAGGATGTCAATGACAATCAACCCCAGGTCCTTCTTCCTAGCAGCAACCTCTCCTGTCTGACCATATCCCCAGCTACTCGAGCAGGAAGCATGATAACAAAGATTTTCGCCATTGATGAGGACTCAGGAATGAATTCGGATATCACTTACCAAATTATTGCATCCAAACCGCCTCTACACAGCCCCTTCCAGATTGACCAGCACTCAGGAAACATTACTCTGGTCCAGCACCTGCGCGGCGAGGACTACGGCATGCACCAGCTCTGCATAGTCGTTCGCGACGGAGGAAAGCCAGACCCGCTGCAGACCACCGTGTGGGTCCACCTGCTGGTCAACGAGACGTTGGAAACATGTCACGTGAATGCCGTTCCGGATTACTCGCCGCCACGACTGCCTCCTCCAATGCCTGTCAAAGACTGCAGGTGTGAATCAAATGCCTTGCTTATTTTTTATTGTGGCCTGTGTCTGATGGTCATCTCAGTCTGTGTTCTCCTGGCGGTCGTAGTGGTGTTTATGAAGCACAGAAAAACAAAAAGGAAAGTCGAACAAAAGAATGTATGGGAAACTGGAAATCTCTGTGAACTGAAACTTTTGAACTAAAGCGAAGGCTCAGCAGATACACCAGTAAAATGTTTGTGTAAATATTACAAAAGTGTTTTTATTACCTGCAAATAATATTCTTTGGCTAGTACTTTTTTGTTAGTGAAGTGAGTGAAGTGACATGTGGCCAAGTATGGTGACCCATACTCGGAATTAGTGCTCTGCATTTATCCCATCCTAAGTGTACACACACAGCAGTGAACACACACACACCGTGAACACACCCGGAGCAGTGGGCAGCCATTTATGCTGCGGCGCCCGGGGAGCAGTTGGGGGTTCGGTGCCTTGCTCAAGGGCACCTCAGTCGTGGTATTGAAGGTGGTAGAGAGCGCTGTACATTCACTCCCCCCACCTACAATCCCTGCCGGTACGAGACTCGAACCCGCAACCTTTGGGTTACGAGTCCGACTCTCTAACCATTAGGCCACGACTTCCCCTGTACTATTAGTATTGTAATAGTAATATACTGTAGTAGTATTAGTCTGGCCTAATGTGTAAGGTACCTGCTTTCTTTTCCTATGATGATGTGTTTTCATCTTACATAAAGTTAAAACAAATAAACTCTTAAAATCTTTAAAAAAAATAATATTTAAAGAGATTAATGCACTTAAAGGGTTAGTTCACCCAAAAATAAAAATTTGCCTGTGTTTTACTCACCCTCAAAGCATCCTAGGTGTATGTGACTTTCTTCTTTCAGATGAATCCAATCAGAGTTATATTAAAAATTGTCCTGGCCCCTCCAAGCCTTTCAATGGGGGTAAGCGGGTGTTGGTTGTCAACAGTTCAGAAGACGTGAAATAAAGTGCGTGCATCCGTAATAAAACGCCCCTCACACGGCTCCAGGGGGTGAATAAAGGCCTCCTGTAGTGAATCCATACGTTTTTGTAAGATCAATATCCATATTTCAAATGTAATAAACACTTTTCTCTCACTTCCGCTGACTGTGATCCACGGAAGACATGCAGGCGGATGACGTAAGACGTAGGCGTCGTGTGCGCGCCTCTGAGAAATGCAGGAGCAAAGGAAACAAAGTTTCCTTACTTTAGCAAAGGAAAACCAGTCTCCTCTTGGCTTATATCGAAATCCTCCCACATTTTTCTTTTCAAATCCTCATCTAATTCGAGAACGTCGTTTTGTTTTGTTCTCTCTCCGCGCTCGTCACTAATCACGCAACGCCTACTTCTTACGTCATCCGCCGGAATGCCTTCCGCATATGACAGAATACTGGAAGTGAGAGAAAACACAGGCTAATTTTCATTTTTGGGTGAACTAACCCTTTAAGGACAATGTACGTTTAATTTTCTGCCAGCAATGGTGTGACATTCAATGAAAAGGAATGAAAATATGTATACAGGTGCAGTCTTGCAGAAAGAAAAATACACTTGTTTGATTTGTTCTCATGTTTCGCCTCTAGTGAGCTGTCGTGTTGGTTTTACAAGCTTTTAGTCTGATGCACACAGCCAGTCAGTACTGTCACCTAGATCATAGAACAGTCTAACAGTCTTGCTGGTATATATTTTCAAAAAAGAAAATATATTTGTGCAAAGCAGTTGAAACAAGGCCATATCTCTTTTATATAGAGTTCAAGAAATGACATCAAGCCTATCTGATTTTTTTTTTTTGTGCACAATTTATTAAACTATTAGTTAATGCTAACCAAAATAAAAGCCAAATAGCTTATAATAAATAAAGAATATATTATAAATTCTATTAGATATATATATATATATATAGAACTTGAACCTTCAACCTTAATATCATACCCTGACAAAAATAAATAAATAAATAATATATATTCATGATTGTGTACATATATTGCACATATAAATGTGATTATTTACATGTACATATGAAGTGTATCATTAAATAATGTATTACATACATTATAATATATAAGTATAACATAGTCACATATTCACATATATGTGAAAAATTCCATATGTGATTCCTTATGTATTATTCAACGTTGTAATATAGCGAATAAATATATTATTCTGTATATTTCAGAGGTTCATTAAATAAATATATTGATTGTTATATATATATAACAATCAATATATTTTCTTTGCATAATTGTAAGGCTTCCAAAGTATAGAACAGCCACTTTTCCAATCAATCACTTTTCTCTCTCTCTCTCTCTCCCTATGATTATTATGCTTCACTCAAATAATGTCATTGCAAATGCTGTTTCATGTTGACTTCAAGGTCAAATAAACCCTAATACCCTTTTTGTAACTAATGGTTAAGTACAATCAACAGATGGTTTCCATGGTGACTAACAGTGTATGGAGTTTAAAACTCTTTTGATAGCTGATGCTGTGAAAACTCTCCTAAGAAGTGTGATAAAAATCTCAAGGGTTTGTAGTAAAGGTTGGCAGACAGATGGGAGATATCACACATCTCATACCAGCAAGTGTCCTGTCATCCAATAGTCCCTTTCTCACCACATTCAGGAGGTTCAGAGACTCATTAAACTTGTACACAAGGAATGAGGAAACTTTAAATGATTCTCTGTTGAAAGCAGGTGATCTGGACAAGAATGTGGATGTAAGATAATTTGAGAGAAAACTCAGATAAAACAGGCCCGACCACTTCAGTGCCTGTGCCGCCCACCGTACTGATTAAAGCTGAGGAGGTTCATATGCTCTGGCACCGAGTTTTCTTATAGCAAACATGATAGGGGTTTTGTAAATGATACAAAAGAAAAAGCATGTTTAGGCAGGTCTGCTGAGCGCAGGTGGAACGCGAATGCACTTCCTGAATAGCAAAGAAGAACTTAATCTTGTGAGAAAACACTGGCATGTTTCTACATACAGGTTACAAAGATGCTTCATAGATGCTTCCGGCCGTTGTCTCAAATGGCATCAATATCCATTCCTGGTCATCTTTCTTAAATGCCTCTATTTTTGATCCTTCCACTTTTTACAGCCAATGAAAGATAAATACTGAATAGCGTGTTAAATCATTTCTATAGTTTGTACACTTTTGATCTGTCCCAGTAATTAGTAATAGCTCAAATACATAAGATTTTATTTTCCAAAATCATAAAGAGTTACACATACTTAAACAGTTAATAACAACAGAATCATCACTTATTTCATGTTGTAAGTCAGTGAGTCAGTAGAAAGATTTTTTTAAAGGGGTCATATGATGCGATTTCAAGTTTTCATAATCCGTAATTATGTCCCCACTGGATGCAACGAATGCCTCGTTTATAATGGGTTTTAATGTTTTTGAATCATTGCTCCGGCCAAACAGGGCATTATCACAATATGCTAAGGGGCGTAACATTTCCGTCACACGCTTGAGGTATTCGGCCAATCACAACGCACTGGATAGCTGGCCAATCACAGCACACCTCGCTTTTCAGACCGATGAGTTTTGTAAAAATCGACGCGTTTCAGAAGGCGGGGCATAGAGGAGAAACAATAATGTACAGTATGTGGAAAATAATGTGTTTTTTGAACCTTAAACCGCATAAACACATTTCATTACACCAAATACACAAAATAATGTTCTTTTTAGCAACATCATATGACCCCTTTAAAAAGTACTGTGCTGGTACTAGTGCATTGATGGTATCAGATGATAATGCCATATATGATACTGTACTGAATGATTACCATTTAGCCTATGGTATATATTTAATTGGTATTTTGAAAGATAATTTGAAAATACTTTGGTCCAAAAAGTCACGTTCCCACGAGCTATGCGTGTGAACACTAGAGGTCAGCAGTGAGTCGTAAGTGGCATGGATCCACAGAGAGCAAGATTTTAGCTCATTAGCAGTACCTTTTTTTAGTTAGTTTTTAGTTCTACGTAAGACAAACTTGTATCATACTACAGTTTCAGTAAATAAAACTACAAACACATAAAAAATTCCTTTAAAAGCCATCAACCGACTTGATCATAGAATTGAGATCATTTATCACTTGTTTATAAATGAGCTAAAAGTGGCCTGCATCTCTTTAACAAACTCTTTGCATCTTAAAGCAAATCAGTGGCACTTCAAATGAGTGAACATTTTGGTATGTTTTTGCATCATGACCCCGTCAGTCTGCTCCTTGAACCGTTCAAGCAGGCCATTGAAAAGACACATTGTTTCTTATTGAGTCTGTCTTCAGCTGTGTTCAGTGTGTAGGAGACTGAGACAGCAGAACACTGAAGCACAGCACAGCACTGCTGCCTACAGACATGGGTAAGTACAACATTTCTACTGATTTAAAAGGAAGTTTTTAAGCAATTCTGTATATAATTAGATTTTTTTTTTTTTTATTTGACCTGTAGCTTGATAAACTAGTGCAAAGAAAGCTGAGCTTTGCATATGAAGGGACAGTGTGATACTCTTGCATATATTTTGCAGTGCTACATACAGTATTTGAAAGTGTATCACTGCAGATGATATTTAACATCCCAGCAAATATAATCTGCAGTGAAATGCAGGAGCTTTTCTCAGAACTAGCTTTGCTTGTATTCATTGTTTTAGCTCGGTGTCTTTTAATCATCTAGTGTTTAGAGGATTTTTAGAGAAACCACAGGTGTAGATCATCACATTAACTATGAACATGATTCACTATTGTTTCACATCCACCGTGTCTCTTTTTGTCTTAATTTTGAAGAGTATTTATTATTTATGTTTTGAAATTTTAAGACTTTTTTTTAACCGACTGACTCATTCCCCTTTTAGGTTTACATGCCGTTCATGCAAACATGGCATTTTTGAAAGAAGTGTATTATTTTCATCAAAGCTGCATTTATTGGATCAAAACTGCAATAAAACCATAATGTTGTGAAATATTATTACGGTTTAATATAACGTTTTCTATTTAAAGTGTAACATTTCTTAAAGTGTAAATAATTCCTTCGATGGCAAAGCTGAATTTTCAGCAGCCGTTACTCCAGTTGTGATGCACTTAACTTTATATAACATGCTACTGCTGAGTTGCAGTACATTAAAAAGTATTATTAATAAAAAAAAAATAACTAAAATGATGTAAACAAAACATCCAAAATAAACCAGATATTCCTCTGTTTATATAAATCAAACAGTTTGACCCCAGGGGGATTTTAACCATCAGCATTCCGTCGATGCACTCCATCCCAAATCTCCCCCCTCTTTATTCACTGTCGTTCCTCCTCTATACTCATTTCAGTCGGTCTGTAGGGGGCTGAGGTGGCACCGGCTCTTTGTTTGCTTGTCATTGCTGGCCCTCGTGTTGCATCAAGACAAAGGCTATTGTCAGTGCAGCCACAAAAAGACACTCTGGCTCTTGGTCCTCCTTATTTTCTCACACTCTTCATGCCGTGGTACAGACCAGCTCCGTCGCCCGCCCCCACAGCAGCACATGATACGGATGGAGGAAGAATGCCCACTTACACCGGTCCACCCAGACTCACACACTTAGCTGCAGCTGCCGCTTTGTTGCAATGGCACGTTGCAGTGTTTCGGATTTGGCACATGTGAATGGAATGTGAATAGATGTCTATGACAGTATGAGCTTGTTAAATTGTTTTGGATTTGAATAAGCACTGTTTGCAGTGTATATTGCTACAAAAATTGTGTGCACGTGATGAATTTCATGGTGTGCATGAAACTGGTTCCCAGCGCCAAAACAACTGCGAAACAGGCTTCTGTTTTGAGAAACATCTCCTTAGTCAACAACAGTATAAATAAACTAGATATTTATGTTTTTCTGTTGAAAATGTGAGAAGTGAGAACCATGATGCTGGAGTGTTGGTTGTGCTTTCAAAGTGGTTATTTCCTACACCAATGTTGAATTCTTATGGTCATTGGTTTGTTTAAATGACTAACTATGAGCAACCATATAAATGCTTCACTTAGCAGACACTACTAATTATACTAGCCTAACTATCTTGGGGAGTCTATAGCACCAGTGCTCCAGAAACTTTTACACTCTTGGGAATGTTGACACCAAATTTAGTGACTTTTTCATTGCTGCTGAAACTTTTATTAATGTTTCATGGCAAGGAGCTATTTTGCTGATAATTAATTGTGTGTGTGTGTATACAGTATATATGTATGTATGTGTGTGTGTGTAAATGAGAACCGTTTTGAGAATTTGGTTGTATTAAAATAGGAATAGTCTGTTTAAACAGGAAACAAATGTAAAGGGCTGATATGATGTGATGAGGCTTTAGCTACTTTTTATTGAATGCATTTGGCAGCACTGCTCTTCTATTTAATCCAGATCAGTTTTATTTTTATAGCACTTCTCACAAAACATATTGTTTCAAACCATGTTTTAGTGATGTAATTTGGCCCCAGTGAATCGAGCATAACATCAAAACATTTTCTTTCATTTTTTTTTTGAGCCCCAGTGAGCAGCCACAAGTTGTTAAGAAAAAAAACCTGCGTCAGTGGTGAGGTGTTGGAGGAACCAGACTCATCCTACTCTGGCAACAAAATAATGTCATATGACAATAATATATAGCTGTAGCAATAATATATAGTCATGTGTTCAATTAAACAGGCAACATCTTTCAATGCATTATTAAAGAAGTAAATGCCACTTATGATTGTAATCATTCCAATATAAATATAATATTATGGCAGTCTTGTAAGTTCATTCTTTGTTGCCTTGCCATCATCTGCAGTCGTCAAAAGTGCAGCTGGGTCCAAACTGAAGCTGGTGAAGTCTGTAGTAACTCTGGGAGGGGAATCCCGAGATAAAAACAGGAAAAGCAACAGGAGAATGACTCTTAGATGCTGTTCATATTATGTCAGGCAAAGATGATAATGTGCATTTGTTTAGATTTTATCAGACATGGCTGCAGTACTAGGTTATGAAAGTGTTGTGTGGAAGCTTGGCTGAAGGGATCTGTACTTAATCTAAAAGCATTTTCAGGAAGGTTAGTCCAGAGTTTAGATGCCAAATGCAAAAAAAATAAAATAATCTGTAATCCCCTTTAGTGGGACCTATAATGTGTTTAAGGCCTTATGAGTGAATAGCAATATTTTATACTTGATGCAGGACTTAGAGATGCCACTGTAGATGTGATCAAATTGGGTTGATATGATCACATTTCCGGTAAGAGCTCTTGCCAGCTGCATTTTGATCTGTTTTTACAGCCACCAGGTAATGCATTTTAATAATCGAGTCTTGAGGCCATGAATGCATGAATGTTTCAGCATCAGAAATAGATAACATGTTGGTGGTAGAAGGTGGAAGGTTGTGACTCAAGAGAGGAGAGTTGCTGTCCAATATAACATGCAGGACTTAAAAGAATAAACTGTTAACTTTGATAATTTAGAAATGTCATCTTATCTTGAAGAAATGTAGAGCTAAGTATGATCAGCATAAGTGTAAGTTAATCGTGTTTGGTGTTTCCCAATAATATTTGGCTGCATGTATAAGGAAAACAGCAGAGGGCCTAATACAGAGCCTTGTGGCATGTATTATTTGCATTTTTTAAAATGTCTGATATGGTAAATCAACAGAAAATGAGAGAAACTGATCCTTCATATGCTTTTGTTATGAATCTCAGGTTGTTATGAATGCTGTATGCGCTGTCTGGGAGGAGTGCCGTACGTCTCTCTGGTGGCCACTCTGCTGTGTTTCTCTGGCATTGCTCTGTTCTGTGGCTGTGGACATCAGGCCCTGACAGAGAGTGAAAGACTTATCGAGACTTACTTCACCCGTGACCATCAGGACTACATCACCCTAGCGTACCTGTGTGTGCCAATAGCATCTCCCACATCATTGATGTTTAATCCAAATGAATCTACTTTTAATCCAAATGAATCAAGTTTTTAGTTTATTTACCCATAATCTCAAGCTTCACAATAAAAAATGATATGAAATGACATGTTTGAATAAAGCTTTTTAAGGTGTCAAAAGGGAATTTGTGCTTTGGACGATCAGTCATTTTAAACATCTTTCTATTACAAACTCTTTGTCTTTCTCTCTCTCCTGTAGTATTGAGTATTTTCAGTACATCATCTATGGTCTGGCCTCCTTCTTCTTCCTGTACTGTATAGTCCTGCTGGCTGAAGGCTTTTACACCACCAGTGCAGCTCGGCAGTCATTTGGAGAATTTCGTAGTACAGTTTGTGGTCGCTGTCTCAGCACAACGGTGAGTGATTTGCAGTGTGAGATTCACTTTGCGTTGGCTACTTTGCAAAATGTTGCACCCTCATGTTGTTACAAACACATGTGCCTTTCTTCCTTTAAGTAAAAGGGGGAATTTGAAGGAATTTGAACGTTGCTCATTTCCATATGTTGAACGTATATAGTTACCAGAGGCTGCCAAGATTCGAAATGTTGAAATTTACTGAATAATTTTGCCTCTGATGCAGCATTCATACGTCATTTGCACTTCCGTATATTCAAAATTGGTGCATTATATTCGGTTTAAAGGGGTCATGAACTGCCTTTTTTATTATTTTATATTGTTCTCTGAGGTCCACTTATAATTTTAACAAGGTTTTTGCATCAAAAACATCATCATCAGTGAGAAGTAATAGGCTATTTGAGTTGCCTTCCTTCTGATCCCAGCATTAGGAAAGAGTGGATGAACTTTATTTTTAATGACGATCCAGACCGCGTCAGTAAGTACTCAGTTCTCGAGTATATTGGATCCAACAGTATTGTCGCAACACACAAGTGTGAGTAACTTTTTATTACGTGATCACTATTGCTTTGTCTGTTATTACAGATCGTTTGATATGTACTGAGTATTTATGCATTTTTAACCTAAATCACTGCAGCATCCATGTATGAGGAATGTATGCTGTCAAACATACACAGCTGTTAGCCAATCATAGCAGTGGGTGTTTACTTCTGAGTCTACAATCCATCACGCCTATTCAAACAGAGTGCTCTGATAAGGGGGGGATCAAAAAAGGCACTGCACAACATCTTGTTGTCTTCAGAGCCATCTTTATTGTTTGTTTTCTGCGTAGACCTGTGCGTTCGCCTGTCTCGTAAACACTACATGCCTGAATCGGTGGGCGGGGCTAAAGATGCAGTGATATAGGATCGGTGGGTGGGGCTAAAGATGCAATGATATAGAATCGGTGGGCGGGGCTAAACAGGCAGCGATGTAGATGCAGGCATTGATCATCTTCTGCGGAGGCGGTGCTTATCCACACTATTACATAATAGAGTCGTACATTCCACAAGCTGTCATTTTGGTAGACTGCCTTCAATATAAGCTGTTTTTAGACTAACGAGAAAGTTTTGTTCTGAAACTTACAGAATGTTTTTTACAGTACAATGACCTCTTATATAAGGGAATTTTGGTTTCTCAGTTCATGACACCTTTAATGTTGTGCCATTTGTGTAACATGGTGAAATTCATCTCTTGAATATGCAAATTATGTAAATGCATTTATTTATTTTTTTGTGTGAATTCTTCATTTAAAATCAAACGCATCAAACTGATAAACGCATTATATTTTATCCTCAGTTCATCGTGATCACGTATTTCCTGGTTGTGGTCTGGTTACTGGTGTTCTCCCTCTCTGCGCTTCCTGTCTACTTTTTCTACAACATGGCAAACACCTGTCACACTATCAACATCCTCTCTGAGACGCCCTCCAGCATCAACCAGCTGTGCATTGATGCCAGACAGTATGGTAATGGCCCAGCAATACATTTATCATATATTTTCTGTCCCTTGACAGCTTAGAGATTTGATATCACTTCTCTGTACAGTGATTAAAGTCTTGCTGACGCTCCGATGTCTTTTGAAGTGTCCCGATGTTCAGATATTTTCAGGAAAGAGGTACATGAAAACGTACATTTATACTTTGGCAAGCTTGATTTCACGTATTTTTGCATTCCGAAAGTGCATTGCCGCAAGAGGTGCTATTTTGTGCTTTAGCCAAAGAGGTATTTGGGTGCTTCTCAAACCGAAGGCTGCAACTTAAGAGAGGCATTTTAATTTAAGAAAATGTCTTTAAATTAATTTATTTTCTTATTAATTTCAGATTTTTTATTAATTAGTGAATGACAAACATATGTGGTTTACAACATGCACTGTAATAAGCAAGCACATTGGCTACAGAATCAGCAGAGGTCAATCAGCTTGTGCGTTGTAGTAAACGGTATGATTGCTAGCATATTTACATTTATGCATTTTGAGGACATTTTTATCAGAAGCGACTTGCAATTTGACAAAGAGCCCACAATATTCATAATGCACAATGCCAGGTTTATTAAACAACTAGATTAGGTTTGCATGTTGCAAATTGCAATTAAAAAAATGTGAAAATGCAAAAATATTTCTATTTAGAGATACCACTCGCTGAATTGCATGCAACTGTTTTATGGTTAGTTCAGAATGCTAAGTATTATACAGCATTGCATTCTGAACATACACTGTAAAAAAAAAAATCTGTGACATTTATGGTAAAATACCGGCAGCTGTGGTTGCCAGAACTTCACCGTAAAAAAAATATGGTAGCAACATTTTAGGTTTTACAAGACTTAACTTAAATTCACTATAAAATACCGCATTTCATTAACTGATGTAATGTTAATAAACCAAAATATTGAAGTGCTAATATCTGTTTTGAACCATTGTAATGCACTGATAACCACCAAAAACTGGTGGTGATGAGAAAGTCACATGATATTTTTAACAGTATTTTACTGTAAAATTACATTAAATGTAATTACATTTATTCACCGAATATAGTATGGAAACTTACTGTTAACCAGTTAACAGGTTTTTACTGTAGCATTTTTACAGTCTTTTACTGTTAAAATCACAATCATTTTTTACAGTGTGGGCAGTGTAGTGATATGACATAAATTCACAACAGCAAAAAAACATGAATTGCTTCACCTCTGAATTTTTTTTTCTTAAAATTCATCATTTCATAATGAACTCAATAGGGACTTTTTCCTCCATTTATTCTGTGAATTGGAATGTGTGCAAATAATTGGTGATTGGAGAATTTTTTTAACCAGTCATCTAAGCTATAAATAGCATGTAATTCTAACCGAAACACAACAACACATGTTGGGTCAATGACATGATGCCCTTTTTTTTTACTCAAAAATACATTAAAATACCATCATACTGAATTGAAAATACCTTTTGTACATTTTTCTTTTTTTGAATTAAATACTATAGATTTTAAAGTCAAAAATATAAATGTGTCCTGACCTTGTAATGAAGAACATCATAAAAGAAGGAAAGAAAGAAGTTGCATAATATTTTATTATTATTTTGTGGAAAAAAATATTTCAATAAAACTATTTCACTGCTTATTAATATTTGAAGAATTAGCAGGGGGGAAAAAACAGGAAATTATGTAATACAGACTTGTCAAGGACAGTAAGTCTAATAAATTGTCAGATAATTTGACATATTTATGACAAGATGAGGTCAATTTTAGTTGTAAAATGTGATGTGGTGTAAATCCCTAAAAACCTAAGTATGTTTAAGAATTAATAATTAATAAAAATGTTAAATATTTCTTAACTTAATAATGATTAAGGTGTAAGGATAATGGTACTACTCGCTAAATTTCTTGAAAATAAATGTTTTTCATGACCATATGAAACCAATGCAAATTATACAGAGGATATTTCTAAGAACTTGGCATATAAACTAAAAGATTTTTCCTTTATCATGGACATTATTATTGTCGTTGACCCACATGTGCACAAATATGACAGCACACTTGAAATTAATTTTCTAAATGTTAGGGATACGTTTCTGGCCTTACAATGTTAAACTCTGTTCTCTTAATGTGGTGTTATTTAAACTGACACAAATTTCAATAAAATCTCATTGTGCCTTGATCTTTTTCATGCTGTTACATTGTGTTTTATGTCTCTGTATCCCTAAGGTTTACTTCCATGGAACGCAGTACCAGGAAAGGCTTGTGGGATGACCCTGTCTAATGTCTGCAAGACGAGAGAGGTAAGACATGGCCCCGGGCGATGTACGATTCAATGTCTTCATATAATTCTTTAGAAAACCTTCCTCAAAGCCTTGTCAAATCCAAAGCCAAGACCAGACATTCACGCTGCGTAGAGAGTGTTTAGGATGTCATGTTCCTGACTTGTTTTTCAGTTTTTCCTGATCTATGATCTCTACATCGCTGCCTTCGCTGGAGCGGGAATGACGGTCTTGGCTCTGGTGAGTGTCCAGAACAGAAGACAATCACACTGTGTTCTCATGACGCCATCCCGTAGGTGTCAAGGAATTCTGTTCCTGCATTTATTAACCTCTTCTTGGGGTTGGTTGGGATTTATTACTGTCAGTTGTGGTTAGAAATTGAGAGAACTGTGTTTTTCAGCTTAAACAATTTTCATTAAGCTAGACTCAATGAAACAACAGCACAAAAGATCCTAGCAATACATCTGCAAAGAGCAAAAAAGTACTGTGAATACCTTAGCAATGTCTAAGCAGTGCTCTGTCGACATCTTAACAACAACCTAGTAATGGAGTAAAAAGCAGTCAGAATATCTTAGCAACATAGCAATACAATGCGAACCACTCAGACACTGTAGTAAGTGTATAGCAATGTGGTAAAAACACTGTTACGACCATATTGTAACACTTGAATAATCACACAGCAGTGAGATGAAAACCCGTGTTGGGGGTAACACTTTACAAGTGACGTGAGTTATGTAATCGGATTACTTTTTTTCTTAAGTAACCAGTAAAGTAACACATTACTTTTTAATTTACAAGAAAATATCTGAGATACTTTTTCAAGTAAGTAACGCCAGAGAAATGGGGAGTAAGTGCAGAGGCGTTGTGTGTGCGCCGTGTGAACATGATGTTACTGTAGTTCTAGACTAAATGCGAACATGCATTTATTCATCTCACTTGCACAAAAACAGATTCAGTATTCCTACCCAGATTTAAAATGTAACACAAATGTAACGTAACACATTACTTTCCATAAAAAGTAACGTTATTAGTTACATTTTTAGGGAGTAGCGCAATATTGTAATGTAATGCATTACTTTTAAAAGTAACTTTCCCCAACACAAAAAAAGTAACTGGCATTACTTATTTGAAAAAGTAACTCAGATATTTTCTTGTGAATTAAAAGGTAATGTTTTACTTTGAAAAAAAGTCATCTGATTACGCAACTTGCGTTGCTTGTAATTCGTTACCCCCTAACACTGGTCACAATATCATAGCAAACCACATGGCAACATCACGGCAACAACTCAGAATACCACAGTAACTGCATAGCAATGTGGTGAAAATCACTCAGAATTGCTCAGATCTTAGCAATCACATAGCTACGCCTTGGTTTGCAACACAGCAATGTGAAAAAGAAAAAAAAGAAAAAAAACAATTTTAAAAGGGTCATGCCTTGTTCTCTGAGGTCCACTTATAATGTTATCAAGATTTTGACATCAAAAAACATAATTTAGAAGTAATAAGCTATTTTCTGTCCTGTTTTTAACCCCCCTCATCAGAACGCTCTGTTTGAATAGGCGTGGAGTATTGTAGACTCAGAAGTAAATGCCCACTGCTATGATTGGCTTGTGAATATTTGACAGACTACTGCTGTGATTTAGGTTCAAACCACACAGATACTCATATCAAATGATCTGATTAACAGACAAAGCAATACCAAGTAATGAAAGCAGGTACTCACACTTGTGTGGTGCGGCATCACTGTCGGATCCAATATAGTTGCACAGCATCGTCTTTTAGTTTCAATCTCTCTGAAAATCCCGCATCAAATTGTGCCTTGTTTGTAAACGAATCTGCAGTAAAATGAAGTGAACAGAGGACCTAGTTCTTACTGACGCGGTCTGGCACTTCATTCAATATAAAGTTCATTCACTCTTATGTTGGGATCAGAAGGAAGGCAACTCAAACTGTTTTTCCATAACTTGGCACTGCACAGCGTCTTGTTGTCTTCAGAACCGTAGACCTGCGTTCGCTCTCTCATAAACACTACATGCGCGAATCTGTGGGTGGGGCTAAACAGGTAGTGATGTAGAATCGGTGGGCGGGGCTAAACAGGTAGTGATATAGAATCAGTGGGAGGGGCTAAACAGGTAGTGATGTAGAATCGGTGGGTGGGGCTAAACAGGTAGTGATATAGAATCGGTGGGCAAGGCTAAACAGGAAGTGATGTAGAATCGGTGGGCGGGGTTAAACAGGCAGCGATGTAGAAGCAGTCGTTGTTCATCTTCTAAGCAGGCGGTGCTTATCCACACTATTACATCATAGAGTCGTACATTCCACAAGCTGTCGTTTTGGCAGACTGCCTTCAATATAAGCTGTTTTAGACTAAGTTTCAGAACTCAAAACTTTCTCATTACAGGATGTAAGACGATAACTATAAAGATAACGATAAAGATACAGTTCTAAAAAAAAATAATAATTCTCAATGTTAAAGAATAGTCCACACCACAGCTATAACGATGAAGGCATAGATAAACGATATCATTGGAATCACTTTCAGAACGTTTTTTCCCAGCAGATGATCGATAAAAACATTGACACCCAATCAGAATTTAATGCAGCAGATGAGTGTGTGCTTAGAATAAACGAACAATATAATCCGCTGGTGTGGACGCTAATATAGTTATCTTTAAAGTTGTCGTTCTTGGTGTGAACGGCTTTTAGCCATGCAAACCACACAGAACACTAACTACATAGCAATGTGTACAAATTTTTTTATAAAAATGGGTGAAAAACCACTCATAACATCATAGCAACACCCTAGTAGCAACGTTAAAAAACACTTAAAGTAAAACCAGTAAAAGCATAGTAAAGCCTTGGCAACCACCTACTACGCCCTAGCACTGTGGTTTTGGTCTTCACTTCGAAAACACCACAGCTTTCTGATTAGTCTCTGGTCACTGGGTCACATTTATTATTTTGTGTTTCTGTCTTTCTCTCTTCAGCTCACATACACTGTGTCCACCACCTATAACTTTGCGGTTCTGCGGTATCTGGGAAGGAAAGGCATCAGTCCGCGCTGTTAATGGCTGTTCTGTCCTGCTGTCCTTCTACGGTCAATAACAGCACCATATTGGAGCACTTTCGAAATTCTCATCCTCATCTTCTTTTCCACAACACAATTTCCTGACATTCTTTTAGATTTTTTGGGATGTAAAGATTTACATATTTGGAATCCTTGCTCCAAACTGCCTTTCATCTGATTTTTCTACCTATATACTGCTGCCGACCACTAGAGGAAATATTCTACCTTCAAGTCTTCTGGGATGTTATAACTGTGCTAATGTAGCAAAACATTATGTAACAGCATTGGGTGTGTAACAGAATCTTTATATGTTTTATCTTGTATTTTGGTCACAAAAGCCTGTTGCCACCTAAATGAGTTGCGTGTTCTAGGCAGCTTATTTCCTACTCTGCAAAAAATGATTTTCTTGCTTAGTATTTCTGTCTTGTTTTTTGTGAAGATACAATTACTCAAGAAGCAAAATGACTTAAAGGGATAGTTCACCCAGAAATGAAAATTCGGTCATTAATTACTCACCCTCATGTTGTTCAAAAGCCGTAAGACCTTCGTTCATCTTCAAAACACAAATTAAGATATTTTTGATGAAATCCGAGAGCTTTCTGACTCTGTATAGACAGCAATGCAACTGAAATGTTCCCAGACCCAGAAGCGTAGCAAGGACATCAGTAAAATAGACCATGTGACATCAGGGGTTCAACCGTAATTTTACGAAACTGCAAGAAAACTTTTTGTGTGCAAAACCCCCCCAAAAATAATGACTTTATTCAACATTTCTTCTCCTCCAAATCACATCTTCCATCATTATCGAGAGCACCTCTGCATGTAAACAATTCAAATGCATGCGTTGTGATACTCTCCATAATGGCGGAAGACATGGAGGAGAAGAATTGTTGAATTAAGTTGTTATTTTTGTTTTCTTTTCACACAAAAATTATTCTTGCAGTTTCGTAAAATTACAGTTGAACCACTGATGTCACATGGACTATTTTACTGATGTCCTTGTTACGTTTCTGGGTCTGGGAACATTTCAGTTGCATTGCTGTCTATGCAGAGTCAGAGAGCTCATGTGTTTGTGTTTTGAAGATGAACGAAGGTCTTACGGAAACGTATCTAAGAAATACTTTTAGTGCTAATAATAAACCAAAGGAATAAGCCATTTGATGAATAAAAAGAAATCACTGATTAATTGGAAATTCAGCAAAACAAAGCGTTATACAATAACTACAACAATCTCCTGATAATTAGAGTTACAAAGCAACATTAAGAGTTCACACGTCAATGGAAACTGTTATTTCACATTGCTCCAAACATGACTTCATTTCAGCCGTGTAACAAAAAGGAGATATTTTGAAAAATGTTCATGCTGCTCTTTTTATACAATGATAGAAAATGCTCTATAAGCATAACATTTGTAGTCCGTATGACTTGTGCACCACATCTAAAGCCTTCTATGATGTATTGTAACAGGTTTAATATCAATGATGCCAAATGTCGAGTCAAATTTGAATACGAGGAAGCACAAATGACATTTAGAAGTATGTTGAAGGGCATGTTTTTCAAGGGACGGCAAATTCAATTTAAGTTGTGTGACTTCAGAAGACTTGGAATGTCGTGCACTAGTCACATATTGCCTTTAGTGAGGCGATACAGGTTTGGAACGGCATACGAGTAAACGATGACAGCTTTCATTTGTGAACTATTCAGGCGAACTACTGCTTTCAGTCTGCACTAAAATCTTGCTTTCACCAAACGCTTAGGTGGTGATCAAGCATCCGACATGTATTATTTATAAAAAATGCTCAGGATGAAATAAACATCCTGAATTGGTTACCTTTTGTAAAGAAAAAAAAAATAAATCTACAGACAACAACAAAAAAATGAAGCTACGGCTGATAAGGTTGCCTTTTTCCGTTTTTGTTTTCTGCCGAAGTGTCTTTTGCTCTCAAGTTTCAGTGAAAGATCCCAGCCACGAAACACTATTAGTAATGACACGCTCTGCGGCAAAATACCTGCTCAAACATCACCAGCTGCATCTGTGCACCGGTCACAGAAAGGCTTTTATTCAAGCAGCTGGAAAGTCCCAGAAGCCTCTTTGTCAGTGGGCGATATCTTCTGACGCGTAAACTGACCCCTAGCATGGGTTTGTGTCAGGGCTGTCCTCTAACAAAGAGGGGCTCATCCATTGTTTAGGCTTTTCTCAGTCCTTTCAAGAGGCTGTGAGAAAAAAAGCGCTGGGGTCACGGGAAAACAGCACACATTGCTGTCTCTCTCCATGGCAACCAGATGTGAGGGATGGTCGCCAAGGAAACCAGCCATCACCACCTTGAGATTCTTTTTAAGCATCTAAGAATCTTATGGTATGGTAGTACTACCCAATGATTATTTTTACTTTTATTTTCTGAAACAAGAATACATTTTGTCCAATCAAGTAATTTCAATTATGGATAGACCAGTAGACTGTTTTAAATGGACTCGTATGCTAGCTGTAAACAAAAATATTTGATTAGGTATTTGATAGCAGATACAGAAAGTAAAACTCAAACTATCCTATCAGATTTCTAAAAACAAAAAGGAATGCATTCTTGACCTAAAAAGGGTAAAAAACTAATTAAAGATTCATAGCTGACTTCAAGTGATGTTGGCACAGGAACCCCACCTCAATATTGTAACTTGTAAAAAAAAAAATAAAGGATTTTCTTTGAGTCAATTAAATAATCGTGGCAGAAGAAGCTTGCTATTGGTCATAATTGAAGTTTTCATTGTGAATGCTAACTGTACAGTTTGTGTGCTGCTGAAGAATAGTCATTTTACTCAGTTTTCTAGTACAAATATCTAAACATTCTTGAATCAAGATTAATTTACTTGAGAAGCAAAATGACTTTAAGTCTTGTTTTCTGAAAAATGTATCGAACTATTGTTAGTTTTTGCTTAAAACAAGAAATATAATGCCACTGGGGTAAGAAAAATAATCTAAATTTATAGGGAAAACGGGATTATTTTTCTTGGGCCGTTATCAGATTTTTTTTCTAGTTTTAAGCATAAACTAACAAAATGTATTATTATTTATTTTATTATATCTTAAAGGGATAGTTCACCCAGAAATGAAAATTCGGTCATTAATTACTCACCCTCATGTTGTTCAAAAGCCGTAAGACCTTCGTTCATCTTCAAAACACAAATTAAGATATTTTTGATGAAATCCGAGAGCTTTCTGACTCTGTATAGACAGCAATGCAACTGAAATGTTCCCAGACCCAGAAGCGTAGCAAGGACATCAGTAAAATAGACCATGTGACATCAGGGGTTCAACCGTAATTTTACGAAACTGCAAGAAAACTTTTTGTGTGCAAAACCCCCCCAAAAATAATGACTTTATTCAACATTTCTTCTCCTCCAAATCACATCTTCCATCATTATCGAGAGCACCTCTGCATGTAAACAATTCAAATGCATGCGTTGTGATACTCTCCATAATGGCGGAAGACATGGAGGAGAAGAATTGTTGAATTAAGTTGTTATTTTTGTTTTCTTTTCACACAAAAATTATTCTTGCAGTTTCGTAAAATTACAGTTGAACCACTGATGTCACATGGACTATTTTACTGATGTCCTTGTTACGTTTCTGGGTCTGGGAACATTTCAGTTGCATTGCTGTCTATGCAGAGTCAGAGAGCTCATGTGTTTGTGTTTTGAAGATGAACGAAGGTCTTACGGGTTTGGAACGACATGAGGGTGAGTAATTAATGACCGAATTTTCATTTCTGGGTGAACTATCCCTTTAAGATATAATAAAATAAATAATAATACATTTTGTTAGTTTATGCTTAAAACTAGAAAAAAAATCTGATAACGGCCCAAGAAAAATAATCCCGTTTTCCCTATAAATTTAGATTATTTTTCTTACCCCAGTGGCATTATATTTCTTGTTTTAAGCAAAAACTAACAATAGTTCGATACATTTTTCAGAAAACAAGACTTAAAGTCATTTTGCTTCTCAAGTAAATTAATCTTGATTCAAGAATGTTTAGATATTTGTACTAGAAAACTGAGTAAAATGACTATTCTTCAGCAGCACACAAACTGTACAGTTAGCATTCACAATGAAAACTTCAATTATGACCAATAGCAAGCTTCTTCTGCCACGATTATTTAATTGACTCAAAGAAAATCCTTTATTTTTTTTTTTACAAGTTACAATATTGAGGTGGGGTTCCTGTGCCAACATCACTTGAAGTCAGCTATGAATCTTTAATTAGTTTTTTACCCTTTTTAGGTCAAGAATGCATTCCTTTTTGTTTTTAGAAATCTGATAGGATAGTTTGAGTTTTACTTTCTGTATCTGCTATCAAATACCTAATCAAATATTTTTGTTTACAGCTAGCATACGAGTCCATTTAAAACAGTCTACTGGTCTATCCATAATTGAAATTACTTGATTGGACAAAATGTATTCTTGTTTCAGAAAATAAAAGTAAAAATAATCATTGGGTAGTACTACCATACCATAAGATTCTTAGATGCTTAAAAAGAATCTCAAGGTGGTGATGGCTGGTTTCCTTGGCGACCATCCCTCACATCTGGTTGCCATGGAGAGAGACAGCAATGTGTGCTGTTTTCCCGTGACCCCAGCGCTTTTTTTCTCACAGCCTCTTGAAAGGACTGAGAAAAGCCTAAACAATGGATGAGCCCCTCTTTGTTAGAGGACAGCCCTGACACAAACCCATGCTAGGGGTCAGTTTACGCGTCAGAAGATATCGCCCACTGACAAAGAGGCTTCTGGGACTTTCCAGCTGCTTGAATAAAAGCCTTTCTGTGACCGGTGCACAGATGCAGCTGGTGATGTTTGAGCAGGTATTTTGCCGCAGAGCGTGTCATTACTAATAGTGTTTCGTGGCTGGGATCTTTCACTGAAACTTGAGAGCAAAAGACACTTCGGCAGAAAACAAAAACGGAAAAAGGCAACCTTATCAGCCGTAGCTTCATTTTTTTGTTGTTGTCTGTAGATTTATTTTTTTTTTCTTTACAAAAGGTAACCAATTCAGGATGTTTATTTCATCCTGAGCATTTTTTATAAATAATACATGTCGGATGCTTGATCACCACCTAAGCGTTTGGTGAAAGCAAGATTTTAGTGCAGACTGAAAGCAGTAGTTCGCCTGAATAGTTCACAAATGAAAGCTGTCATCGTTTACTCGTATGCCGTTCCAAACCTGTATCGCCTCACTAAAGGCAATATGTGACTAGTGCACGACATTCCAAGTCTTCTGAAGTCACACAACTTAAATTGAATTTGCCGTCCCTTGAAAAACATGCCCTTCAACATACTTCTAAATGTCATTTGTGCTTCCTCGTATTCAAATTTGACTCGACATTTGGCATCA